GCAACAATCATCTTGCTCAGGCAGAGACCAATCCCCCTGAGCAAAACCAGCGTCAAAGATTCAATAGCCCCACCCACAGGTGGGATTCCAACCCGTCCTGTGCTGTCTAAGCTGCCTGCTGAGTGCAGAGTGGCAGCCACAGACAGTCGATCCTTGGCTAAAGGGGGTGCAGAAAGGTCTGGCAACGCTTGAGGAGAGACTGGGTATGGAGGCTTTGGGGAGAGAACTGAGAGAGTAGTGGCGGCATCCCAGTGTGGACTCCTCCCCCATATACATGAGCGTGAGAGGACCCAATAACCCCACCCCAAGGAGAAACTCCACCCTGCCTTGAGCTGTCTAAGGCGGCCTGCTGAATGCAGAGTGAATAGATTAACAGCTGAAGGAGACAGCCACAAACAGTAGGTTCCTGGAAGTCTTGAAAAGACTGCCGAAGGTCAGACAGGGTCAACATCTGACATCATTAGAGGCAGATCCAGAAAGTAAAAAAAACCCCCAAAAAACAGCGGTCTTCTACCATAGAAGTTCACACCACAAAGTCAGGAGATCAAGACAGATCAACTTAAGAATCAGAGGCAAAAGAGAAGAGTCTCACAAATAATGGGAAGACAAAGAAATACACCCCACTCGAAGGGAAAGGAGGAATCCCCAGAAAGAGAACTAAATGAAATAGAGGCAAGTACACTATCAGATATTGAGTTCCAAACAACGGTTCTAAGGAAGCTCAACGAGCTCAGTGAGCTCAGAGAGAATTGCAAAATAACTTCAGGGAAACCATGAGGAACTCACTGCAAACTATGTCAGCATGGAAAAGGACATGGAAACTATCAATAAGAGATAAGAGGAAATGAAGAATGCAATTTCTGAATTGAAGAACACAGTAGAAGGAATCAAAAGCAGGCTAGATGAAGCTGAGGACCAAATCAGCGAGATTTTAGCACTGAGTGTGGCTACAGTGCTAAAAGCTGAAATAGACTCAGATTAACTGAATACACTCCAGACCTCCTAAATAGTTACATCAGACAGATTCTGCTAGTACAATTGCTGTCTAGGTGGGAAGGATTCCTGGTGTTCCCCAATATTCCCAGAATGTTCTTTCTAAATCAGTTACTCGTTTGTTTTTTGGAGGAGGTCTCTATTATGAACCAGGTTCCGTCCTGTGCACTGGAAATAGAGTGATGAGAAAGAGACAAAACTCTCTGTTCTTATAGAGATTATATACTCTTAGGGGAGTCAGACAATAGAAAAACTAAATAAATACATAATATAACTTCATGTAATTATAAGTGCTATGAAAAAATATTTGAGTATTATGTAGCAGACACTATGGTTTCCCCATTCATGTCCCATCGGGGATTAACATTCTGATGCAAGCTGGCCAGATTTCTAGCTTCCAGTACCTGCAACTGATTGCATGAGGGCTGTTTCTGGCTCCTGGAGCATTCTCTTCTCGGATGCTGGGCAGGTTGGTAGCTCTAGAGGCTTAAGCTTCCCAGGAGAGCACTCTTTAACTAATAGCTGATGTGAGCTGTGGATAAGAATATAAGCCCCCTTGCCCATCATCACGCAGGAGGATAATGCTGAGGTATGTCTTATGCTGGCTTCCTGAACTCCCTAGTGTATTGAGTTCCAATTGACCATAGTGATAACTTGTTTTATCACAGACCTTTCATGGGCTCCTTTCTGCTTTCACTTCCCCACCAGTGTTTCCTGGGTCACCTCCAAAATAAATTACTTGCACTTAAATCCTTGTTTCAGGATCCATTTATAGAGGATCACAAGCTAAGATTTTATCAAGAGTAGGGATAGGAGATGGGTGGGGAAAAATGGCTGAAAACCTACAGATAGGTGCCCACTTGCTGTCACCTAGTCAGGTGCACACCATTGTTTGGTCATTGAGAAAGGCTCTACAGATTGGATAGCCTTTCTGAGATTTTTACTTCCGCCTTTACAAATAGTGGGCTCTTGGCCACTGTTTGGGGCAATGAGGGGAGTCTATGTCTGAGCTATAGCTGCTTTCTCTGATGATCATGATACCAATAACCTGCCCAGTATTAGCAGCCTCTCTTGTGCCTGGAGTGTGAGCAGGAGTGGAGTGGAGTAGCTGCAGCAGAAGCACTGGGTTGCCTGGGTAACCAGGCTATTGCAGCGAGTGGCCAGATCTCTCCATCCCTGGCAGGATGTGGTGGGAGGAAGTCATTGCCTGAACATGAGCAAGGCTAGAAAGGGTGATTGGCTAAGGGAAAAGCCTTCCTACTGCCTTCAGGTCCAGTGAAGACCTGTCAATCTAGCCTGGGAAAAAACTGGATTGGTTGGGAGAGCCGACCAATGCGTGGAAATTTGAGCACCTTGCCGGCTCACAGGGGTAGCTTATATAAACCGAGGGAAGGGAGAGACACTTTTTTGCACCATGGATGTGTGAGCTGGTGCTTTGTGGGACTGGCTGGCCCTTGAAGCTGCATGGAAAATGGTGGCTCTGAAAAGGAGGGATCCCGAGGCTCGACAAGGTGGGGAGACAGGCTGAGCTGCTTGGAGGATTACTCAGTGGCCACCTGCAGTTCCCAAAGGATGGTATTTTGAATGGGTGAAGGATGCAGCCTGGGACTGATTTGACAGAGAGTGATGGGGTTTTCCTCTGAGTTTGTGGTGATAGGCTCTGAGGCAGGAGCCTGCCATCCTCCCAGATTGTGCAGGTTTTGAACAAAAAAACCTTTCCTTTTCTCTCAAGACCTGCCTCTGGAATTTGCCTGTGGGTGGCGGCTAATAATCAGGGTGTAAAAGCTTTTACCAAAAAAAATTTCCCAGCTTATCCATTAAACTACTCCCTCATACCCTGGTTGGTGTAAGTCTCATCCTGGGCCCACAGCCTTACTCCTTTTTGCTCACCCCTTCTCCTGCTAACAAGTATAGGTACTTTGTTTTAAACTATTTACTATGTTTTTCTTTCTTTTTAATTATAAGTGATTCATATTTTTGTATAAAAGTTTTAAATACAAAAGATATATAGAAGAAAACAAAATCATCCTGTAACAGATTAAAATTGAACACAAATTCTTTCACACATCTTCTACTGAGAAGTTGTATCAGTGTCCCCTCTCTTTGAATGTGGATAAGTTCTGTGACTCCTTGATCAGTAGAATATGGTGGAAGTGCTTCTGTGATATTTTTCAGATTAGAACCTTAAGAGAATGGAAACTTTCAATTCTTGTCCCTTGGAACACTTGGTCTTAAGATCTAACCACTATGCTGTGAGAAGCCCAAGACACATAGGGAGGTCACATGTAGGTACTTCAGCTGAGAGCCTCAGCTGAATTCTCTGTCTGCAGCCAGAACCAACCACTGGCAATACAAGTGATTAATTTAGAAATTCCAGCCCAACTAAACATTGAATAACCTCCAGTCCATCACTATGTGACTGTAACCATGTGAGATTCTTTAGTGGGAACTGCAGAGGTCAAACTGTCCATGGGACCATGAGACAAAAATAAGTTGCCAAGATTTGAAGTGGTTTACTATGCAACAATAGGTGACTGGAACACATCCATAACCCTACCACCCAGAAATAACTACAATTGACATTTTGGTTTTCTCACACATGCATATTTTTAAACAGGCAATTTTAAAACAAAATGTACAAATTTTTTATGATTTTTTTTCAGAGAACAAACATTTATTTGCTTTGGTTATAAGAAAGTAAAACTAGCCCTGACTAGTGTGGGTCAGTTGGTTGGATGTTATCCTGCAAAGAAAGGTTTCTGGGTCAATTCCTGGTCAGGGCACATTCATGGGTTTTGGGTTTGGTCCAGGTCAGGGCATATGTGGGAGGCAGCTGATTGATATTTCTCTCTCACATTGATGTTTTTCTCCCTTTCTTTCTCCGTCTCTTCCCCTCTCTCTATAAATAAAAAAGTCTTAAAAAGAGAAGGTAGAACTAGGGGCAGGAGAAAATGTGTCAGAATGAAAAAAAATCATTGGCTTGGATAATTATATTAGCAGTAATGTACAAGGTATGGTTTGGTATTCTATATATTTAATGAAAGTATGCTCCTGTGTCATTTAAAAAAATTATTTTTAATCCTTACCCAAGGGGCTATGTTCACTGCTTTCAGAGAGAGAGGAAGAGGGTGGGGGTGGGGGAGAGAGATAGACAGAGAACCATCAATCAGCTGCCCTCTATATGTGCCCTGACAACAGATCAAACCCACAATCTAGTTATGTGCCCCGACCAGGAATTGAATCCACAACCTTTTGTTGCACGGGGCGATGCTCCAACCAGCTAAGCTACCTGGCCAGGGCACTCCTCAAAACAGATGTAGAAGAGACTAGATGAAATGTAAGGATATATCACAGGCTGAGACATTATTCAAGCATTCCTTTGTTGGATATTTAGGATGTTCTAATATTTCACTATAAAGAACAATGCTGCAATGCACAAGCTTATACATCCATCTTTGACTGTACTTCTCAGCTGTTTCTTAGGATAAATTCTTGGAAGTGAAAATTTCTGGGCAAAGGGTTTGAGGATTTTTTTTTTGAAAAAACAAAATATTATTCTAAAAACACTAGGTTTCTCTTACTGATGAGCTGTCCTTACTGATGGCGACAAAGGAGCACAAGTCTGGCTGATATATACTCCTGTTCCCTTGGGCAGGAGGGAAGGACATTTCTAAAAGTGTGCTTTCAAGGAGACACACATGGTGACTTCCCACAATTGCATGATGTGTATTAATGTTTAGAACACACATTCCAGGAGCCAGGCCCTAAGCCTATTCAGCTTGCTTTTCATAATACTTTAGCCAACTCTAGAAGCAGGAGGGCAAGCAAATAACATTGTTGAAATACTGATCTTTCTCATTTGGGCTAGGAACATGTGCAGGGTGGGAGCACAGGCTCTATGCAGCCCCAGGAGGAAGGCCAGGCAAGCCTGTGTGCTTACTGAGCCCCACCCTCTTCCTTTAGTCTCATAAGAGATTTCTGCTCCTACTACTTCTCTTTTCATACGCTTCCCGGCTTCGGTGGTACAAGCAGCCAAAGGGTCTTGCTCCAGCCATGACTCAGAGAGTCCTTCTGTTAACAGGTGCGCTAGAACATGGGGTGGGCAGTGGGGGTAGCTTAGGATGAGGAGGAGGGGAACTTTTGAGTCTGTGAGTAGAGAGAAGGGATGCAGAATATCTAGGAGTTAGATTGGAAAGAGACAAAGGACATTTGGGGAAGGGTAAGAGATTCATGAAGAAGCAGAGAGTCAAGCTAGATGAAGATGGAGTCACCAGAGAAACTTTGATGAGTGACTAAATTTATAGATTATGCAAAGGGGTTTGGCTGGCCCCTTCACTTCACAGATGAGGAAACTGAGACCTAGAGAGTTGAAATGACATACTAAAGGGCGCACCACTTCCACTTTACTTTCCATTTCTATTTTACAAGGACCCGGGTATATACATTTGTTGAATGGCAGATGGACCAAATGATTTAACTTTGTTTCCTTTTATGTCCATGCTTTGTGGCAAATCAGCCAAAAAAGGGAAAGAAATGCTTTAGTCTCATAGGAAGGAAGTTGCCAACTGAGAGACTTTTGGAACTTGGTTATTGGGCCAATAAGCAGGATAAGAACATAGGGTGGGTCTCAAAGAGGAGCTGGAAGTACCCCACATTGGTGGTGTTAGGCCAGGGGTCAACAAACTATGGCCTATGGGCATAGGGCAAGTGTTCCACCACTGACGTTTGTATAGTGTGTGAGGCTTAGGTCGCAGATGAACATTTGAAATAGATTCATGATTGAACACAAATTTTGAATCACAATGAAGTGAAATATTACTTCCCCCAAAGAATTCCATTTGTGTCATTAGCAAATTTGTATTTAAAAAGCATACTCAAATATATTTTGAATTTCCAAAAGAAAATTTGTGGAAATGAATCTGCACTCTTGTTATGTAAGTACCTATGTAATATACTCTATTTGCTGGTTGGCTGAAAATGCCTCAAACATTTACTATCTGGCCCTTTATAGAAAAAGTGTGTTGACCACTGCCCTAGGCATCAGAGCTGGATCTTGGAGGCAGACATCTCCAAGCTGGTGTAGGGCGAATCCTGGCAGGAAGATGCAAGGTGCAGGAGGACACACTGCCTTCTTAACTGAGTCCTTATCTCCTCCTGACACTCACCCCTTTGTTTTCCCTTTGTTTAGCCTTGGCCTTATGTCATGGGTTCAACCTGGACACTGAAAATGCAGTGATCTTTAAAGAGAATGCAAGGAGCTTCGGGCAGAGCGTGGTCCAGCTTGAGGGATCCCGGTAAGGGTCATAGGTGGAGGTCTTTGTCACACGTGCTTTCCCTCTAAGACCTTATTCCTGGAAAAAAAATTGCAATTTCTTTTTTTCCCTTTTTTGATTTTGTTCTGTTTTTCTTGAATTTTTGAGTAGTTAGTACAATTATAGGGTTCTAAATTCAAAACATGCCAAAGAATGTGAGAGTGAAAAATCTTCCCCACTTCATTCCCTAGTACCCATCCCAGGAGGGTTTTTAAATTGTTTTTATTTTTTATTATTATATTTTAAAGTATATTTTATTGATTATGACATTACAGTTGTCCAATTTTTTCTCTCCCCTCTATCCCCCCTGCCCTGCATCCCCCTCCCTCTAGCATTCCCCACCCTTAGTTCATGTCCATGGGAACTCCCCTGTAGGTAAATAACTGCTTTTCTCTTGCTGCTTTTAAGATTCTCTTTATCTTTAACATTTGGGCTTTTACTTATGATGCGTCTTAGAGTGGACCTCTTTGCATCCATCTTGTTTGAGACTTTCTGTTCTTTCTGGACTTGTAAGTCTACTTCCCTCACCACCAAATTAGGGAAGTTCTCTTTCATTATTATTTCAAATAGATTTTCAATTTCTTGTTCTTTCTCTTTTCCTTATGGCACTCCTATGATGTGAATGCTGGAACACTCAAAGTTGTGCCAGAGGCTGCCCACACTATCCTTTCTTTTATTATTTCTTTTAAAAAATTTTTTTCAAATACACTTATCTCCATTTACCTGTCATCACTTTCCCCTACCCCCACACCCTCCCTCCCCCCGTCAATCCTTCTCCACCTTGGCTTCATTCATGTGTCCTTCACACCTATTCCTTGATCTGACCCTTCCCCTTCCCCTCCCTGCTCCCTCCTCCCTCACTCCCTCCCTCCCTCCTGTCCCTGTTGGTTTCTTCTTTTTTCAATGTTGCTAGTCATATTTTCCTTGTGTGCTTGATTTAATGATTAGGTTCCACTTATAGGTGAGATCATATGGTATTTGTCTTTCTCCGCCTGACTTATTTCACTTAGCATAATGTCCTCAAGTTCCATCCATGCTGTCTCGAAGGGCAGTAGCTCTTTCTTTTTTTCTGCTGTGTAGTATTCCATTGTGTAAATGTACCATAGTTTTTTGATCCATTCATCTACTGATGGGCATTTAGGTTGCTTCCAACGCTTGGCTATTGTAAATTGTGCTGCTATGAACATTGGGGTGCATAGGTTCTTTTGAGTTGGCATTTTGGGATTCTTAGGGTGTAATCCCAGCAGTGGACTTGCTGTGTCAAAAGTCAGTTGCACTGTTAGCTTTTTGAGGAAATTCCAAACTGTTTTCCACAGTGGCTGCATCAGTCTGCATTCCCAACAGTTTACTAGGGTTCCCTTTTCTCCATAACCTTGCCAGCACCTGTTGTTTGTTGATTTATTTATGATGGCCATTCTGACTGGTGTGAAGTGGTATCTCATTGTGGTTTTAATTTGCATTTCTCTGATGGGTAGTGATGCAGAGCATCCTTTCATCTTTCTCTGGGCCCTGTGTATGTCCTCCTTGGAGAAGTGTCTGTTTAGGTCCTTTGCCTATATTTTAATGGGATTGTTTGTCTTCCTGGAGTAGAGTTGTATGAGTTCTTTATATATTTAGGAGATCAAACCCCTCTCTGAGGTGTCATTGGCAAATATATTTTCCCATATGGTTGGCTCCCTTTTCATTTTGCTGATTTATTTTAGTCATGCAGAAGCTTCTTATTTTGATGAAGTCCTATTTGTTTATTCTTTCCTTTATGTTCCTTGCTCTAGGGGACATATCTATGAAAAAATTGCTGCGTGGGGTATCTGAGAGTTTCCTGCCAATGTTCTCCTGTAGGACTTTTATGATGCTGTGACATATTTAAGTCCTTTATCCATCTTGAGTTTATTTTTGTGTATGGTGTCAGCTGATGATCCAATTTCAATTTTTTGCATGTGGCCATCCAGCTCTCCCAACATTTGTTGAAGAGGCTATTATTGCTCCATTTTATGCTTCTGCCCCCTTTGTCAAATATTAGATGCCCATAGAGACCTGGGCTTATTTCTGGGCTTTCTATTCTGTTCCACTGGTCTATGGATCTGTTCTTGTGCTAGTACCAGATCGTTTTGAGTATAGTGGCTTTGTAGTAGAGTTTGATATCCGGTATTGTGATCCTTCCTACTTTGTTTTTCTTTCTCAAAATTGCTGCAGCTATTCGGGGTTGTTTTTGGTTCCATATGAATTTTTGAAATGTCTGTTCTATTTCTGTGAAATATGTCATTGGTATCTTAATAGGGATTGCGTTGAATCTATAAATTGCTTTGGGTAGTATGGACATTTTGATGATATTAATTCTTCCAATCCATGAGCACGGTATATGCTTCCATTTATTGGTGTCTTCCTGAATTTCTTTCTTCAATGTTGTATAGTTTTCTGCATACAGGTCTTTTACCTCTTTGGTTAAATTTATTCCTAGGTACTTTATTTTTCTTGTTGCTATATCAAATGGTATTTTTTTTCTGATTTCCTCTTCTTCTATTTCATTGCTGGTGTACAAAAATGCCTTTGATTTCTGAATGTTGACTTTGTATCCTGCTGTTTTTCCAAATTCACTTATTAGGTTGAGGAGTTTTTTGGTAGAGTCTACAGGGTTTTCCATGTACACTATCATGTCATCTGCAAACAGTGATAGCTTTACTTCCTCTTTTCCTATTAGGATGCCTTTTATTTCTTTTTCTAGTCTGACCGCAGTGGCTAGGACTTCCAATACGATGTTGAAAAGAAGTGGTGAAAGCGGACATCCTTGTCGTGTTCCTGATCTTAGTGGGAAAGCTTTTAGTTTTTGCCCGTTGAGTATGATGTTGGCTGTAGGTTTTTCCTATGTGGCCTTTATTACGTTGAGGAATGCCCCATTTATTCCCATTTTGCTGAGTGTTTTGATCATAAATGGGTGCTGTACCTTATCGAATGCTTTTTCTGCGTCTATTGAGATGATCATGTGGTTTTTGTCTTTTCTTTTATTTATGTGATGTATTACGCTTATTGACTTGCGTATATTGAACCATCCCTGCATCCCTGGGAAGAATCCCACTTCATCATGGTGGGTAACCATTTTAATGTATTGCTGGATGCTGTTTGCCAATATTTTGTTGAGGATTTTAGCATCTATGTTCATCAGCGAAATTGACCTGTAGTTTTCTTTCTTTGTAGGGTCTTTATCTGGTTTTGGGATTAGGGTGATGCTGGTCTCATAAAAAGAGTCTGGGAGTCTTCCCTTCTCTTGGATTTTTTGGCGTAGTCTGAGAAGGACAGGGGTTAGCTCTTCCTTAAATGTTTTGTAAAATTCTCCTGTGAAACCATCCGGCCCTGGGCTTTTGTGTGCCGGGAGTTTCTTGATTACTGCTTCAATTTCCCCAGCTGTCATCGGTCTGTTCAAGCTTTCTATTTCTTCCTCCTTCAGTGTTGGAAGATTATACTTTTCTAAAAATGTGTGCATTTCATCAAGGTTTTCAAATTTCTTGGCATGTAATTGTTCATAGTAGTTTCTGACGATCCTTTGTATTTCTGTGGAATACAAAGTTGTTATTTCTCCTCTTTCATTTCTGATATTATTAATTTGGGTCCTCTCCCTTTTTTTCTTGATGAGTCTGCTTAAAGGCTTGTCAATTTTATTTACCTTTTCAAAGAACCAGCTCCTGGATTGGTTGATCCTTTGAATTGTTCTTTTCGTCTCTACGTCATTCAGTTCTGCTCTAATCTTGACTATTGCCTTCCTTCTACTTGCTCTGGGATTTATTTGTTGTTGTTTCTCCAATTCTTGAAGTTGTAGTGTTAGGTCTTTTATTTGAAATGTTTCTATCTTTTTTAGGTAGGCCTGTATTGCTATGAACTTCCTTCTCAGGACCGCCTTTGCTGTGTCCCATAGGTTTTGGCCTGTTGTCTGTTCATTTTCATTTGTTTCCAGAAATTTTTTGATTTCTTCTCTTATCTCATTATTGACCCATTCATTGTTTAATAGTCTACTGTTCAGTTTCCATGAGTTTGCAAGTTTTTGATGTTTCTCTTTGAGGTTGATTTCCAGTTTCAAGCCCTTGTTTGTCTGAGAAAAAGTTTGGTATTATTTCAATTTTCCTTAATTTACTGAGGTTTGCTTTGTGTCCTATCATGTAGTCTATCTTTGAAAAACTTCCATGAGCATTTGAAAAGAATGTGTATTTTTCTTCTTTGGGATGTAAGGTTCTATATATGTCAATTAAATCTATTTGATTCAGTGTGTCATTTGGCTGCATAATATGTTTATTAATATTTTGTTTAGAAGATCTGTCCATTTTTGACAGTGGGGTGTTGAAATCCCCTACTATCAGTGTGTTGCTGTCTATACCTTTTTTGAAGTCATCCAACAATTTCCTTATATAGTTGGGTCTCCTATATTGGGAGCATATAAGTTTATAATGCTGATGTCTTCTTGATAGATTCTTCCCTTAAGTATTATAAAGTGTCCCTCTGCATCTCTTTTTATGGCCTTTGTTTTGAAATCTACTTTGTCTGATACAAGTATGGCAACCACAGCCTTTTTCTCTTGCTCATTTGCTTGGAATATTTTTTTCCATCCCTTTACTTTCAATTTGTGTAGGTCTTTTGCTCTGAGGTGGGTCTCTTGTAGGCAGCATATGTGTGGGTCATGTTTTCTTATCCATTCAGTTACCCTGTGTCTTTTGATTGGGGCATTTAGTCCATTATCATTGAGAGTTATTACTGACAGAAACCTATTCATTTTTTCTCTTTGTACCTGTGTTTTTCTCTTTCTCACTCTTTTCCTTCATCTTCTTAAACCAGTCTCTTTAGCATATCTTGGAGTGCTGGTTTGGTAGAGATGTATTCTTTTAGCCTTCTTTTGTGTGGGAAACTCCTTATTTCCCATTCTATTTTAATTGAGAGCCTTGCTGGGTAGAGCAGCCTTAGTTATAGGCCCTTGCTTTTCATTACTTGGAATATTTGCT